CTGGACCTCTCTGGACGTGCTCTGCGTGACGGCCAGCATCGAGACCCTGTGCGTCATCGCCATCGACCGCTACCTGGCCATCACCTCGCCTTTCCGCTACCAGAGCCTCATGACCAAGGGTCGGGCCAAGGGCATCATCTGCACCGTCTGGGCCATCTCTGCCCTGGTCTCCTTCTTGCCCATCATGATGCACTGGTGGCGGGATGACGACCCCCAGGCGCTGGAGTGCTACCAGGATCCGGGCTGCTGCGACTTCGTCACCAACAGGGCTTACGCCATCGCCTCGTCCATAATTTCTTTCTACATCCCCCTTCTCATCATGATCTTTGTGTACCTGCGGGTGTACAGGGAGGCCAAGGAGCAGATGAGGAAGATCGATAGGTGCGAGGGCCGGTTCTACGGCAGCCAGGAGCAGCCGCAGACGCCCCTGCCCGCTCACCCTCACCACCAGCCCATCCTCGGCAACGGCCGGGCCAGCAAGCGAAAGACCTCCCGCATCATGGCCATGAAGGAGCAGAAAGCCCTCAAGACTTTGGGCATCATCATGGGGGTGTTCACCCTCTGCTGGCTCCCCTTCTTCCTGGTGAACATCGTCAACGTCTTCAACAGGGACCTGGTGCCGGACTGGCTCTTCGTTTTCTTCAACTGGCTGGGCTACGCCAACTCCGCGTTCAACCCCATCATCTACTGCCGCAGCCCCGACTTTCGGAAGGCCTTCAAGAGGCTGCTGTGCTGCCGCCGGAAAGCCGACCGGTGGCTGCACGGCGGCGGCGGGGAGCTGGCCCGGCTGCCCGGGGGCTTCATCAGCACCGTGGGCTCCCCGGAGCGCAGCCTGGCCGGGACCTGGTCCGACTGCAACGGGGGCACTCGGGGCGGCAGCGAGTCCAGCCTGGAGGAGAGACATAGCAAAGCCTCCGACTCGGAGTCCAAGGTATAGGGGGGGCGTGGGGGCCGCGCCGGAGCGGGACAGGGGGGACAGGCAGGCAGGGAGACGCAGGAGCGGAGAAAGCCCCGGCAGCTGCCCCATGGTAATGCTATTGCCGAGCGAAACGATCCCTGCCGTGGCAGGGAGAGTGCGGGTGTTTACTTAGGAATAGAAGCAGGTGAACTGGTGTACGACATACCTCATCCGAAACTACAGCAAACAGGAAAGCCACTGAGCGGACAGCAAAGGAAGCCAGCAGCCCATGCCGGGGGCAGCCGCCTGCCTTTGGGGGACGCGCTGTCACGGNTCAGAATTACAAGTAGCAGACCTGGGCAAATAGTCCTGGAAACAACTGTTCTGCTTTTCATTTGGCATAAGCTCTCCCTCTGTTCCTGAAGATGCCATGCCTCCTTCCCTTCCCACTAAAGTGGGTCATGCTTTGGTCCAGCAGATGACAAGCAGCAAAGCAAAGTCCATGGGAACATGAGGGAATGGTTTGCCAAGCAGCAGGTCCACGCTGGTGTGTGGCCTTTAGTCAGGGTTAAATAAACAGTGTGTAAATAAATAAATAATTTTTTTCCCAGGTTGCGACCTTGTAAATCAAGCCTAAGCCTAGAAGGGATTTTTATGGGCCAGCTGGAGCAGCAGAGCAGTCTTAGCAGAATAAATATATAGGGGGAAGAAAATAACTGTGACTTCCAGTGGCTCCCAGAGAGCTGTGGGGAACATTTGGTGCTGCTGTAAAGACATGCCAATGATTTAAAAGGCAGGAGAGAGGGGACATTGTTCTCATTTACTCAGTGGTTGCTCCACATTATTTTAAGAAGTTTAAAACAGTAAAATGCAGTCTTACAGCTTCAGAGCAGAAGAGAGAGCCAAGCAGGTAGATGGAAATATAACCAAACAAGTTCTAGCAGCAGGTTTCACAGAAGGGGATGGGACCTGGGCAGGGATTTGCTCGGTTGGTTATCTGAGCATTGCAGCCTCCTGATGTTTCACGTACTTTACTGCTCATTACCAAACAATGGTACTAACAGCATTAATACTCAGAACAGACCCTAGATTTCGTGGCTTTGACCAGGCTGTGTCAAAGATACTGCAGGCATTTTTAAAAGTCCAGAGAGATCCGCTCAGCACAACAGAGAAAAGCCAGAAAAGGGAGCTGTGGCTCCCACCTCCCAACCCTGCAGTGTCTTGGTCTGGCAGGGCTGGAGGAGAAGGGGAAAGGAGAATTCAGAATGGGGAGATGTAGGGGACGAGCGGCAGCCGCAGTCCCTGCACGGAGCTGGCAGCATCATCCCTGTAAGCGGGTTTGCCATGGGGGCTCCGGGGTTGCCCAGGCTGGGAGAGGAGGCGCTGGGGACAGGGGGCTTGGGAGCGCGACAACAGTCCCTGATGGGGACATCCAACGGGAGGGCATCGCTATAACTTTCCAGTGGAGAGTGATGCAGACAGTGCTGGCAGATTGCTTTTTCCCAGGAATAACTGTAACTTCTGCTCCAGAAGCCGGTAGGAGCCCACCCTGCCCGTATCCCCTGCCTGCCCTGCGGCTGCCGGGCACAGACACGCCGTGCCCAGGACAAGGACACCCCGTGCCCGGGACACCCACGCTGCCGTGCGGGAAGGGGCTCTGTGCCCGGCAACAGCGGGGCACGCAGAGCAAACACGGGGATCCGGGCTGGGTACTGGCAGGGACAGGGGCAGAAACAGGGACAGGAACAGGGGCAGGGGCAGGGACAGGGACAGGGGCAGGAAGAGGGGTAGGGATAAGGAAAGGGATAAGGGCAGGAACAGGGGCAGGGATAGGGGCAGGGATAGGGACAGGGACAGGG